AATGTACAGTGTATATACTGTGAGACATAAGAGGTTTTGTTTCCATGTTTATAGCCATTTTGAAGGATGATGTCTGTCTGCCCTTTGAAAAAATCAGTTATTGCTTACAGGGTGATAACATAATGGAGGGAGTACAGTAATTTTACAAATTCTATTCATAGACTTGTATCCCTGGAATTCTAACAGCATCATCAGTGGATAAAGAGGTAGCTCTGAACTTAAGCTGAAAAAGTCAGGGAAGATTATCTCCTTTTGAAGCTCATTTGATTCTCAGTTTTCTAACTAGAAGAACTCTGACAATGACAACGTTTTCACCAAAATGCCAACAAATTGAAAATATCTGGGCACCTGGGTGGCTTAGTGGGTTAAGGGTCTGCCTTCAGCTCAGGTCATGATCCCAGGGTCCTGGAACGGAGCCCCGCCTCGGGTTCCCTGCTCAGTGGGGAGCCTGCTTCTCCCTCTCCCTCTGCTCCTCTCTCTTCTTGTGCTTGCTGTTATCTCCTGCACACACTCTCTCTCAAATAAATAAAATCTTTTAAAAAACTGAAAATGTTTTTTTTTCAAAGATTTTATTTATTTGACAGAGAGAGACACAGAGAAAGAGGGAACACAAGCAGGGGGAGTGGGAGAGAGAGAAGCAGGTTTCCTGCAGAGCAGGGAGCTGGATGCGGGGCTCGATCCCAGGACCCCGGGATCATGACCTGAGCTGAAGGCAGACGCTTAACGACTGAGCCACTCAGGCGCCCCAAAAACTGAAAATATTTTAAGTTGAAATGTATTTAATACACCTAGCCTACCCAACATCATAGCTTAGCCCAACCTACCTTAAAGGTGTTCAGAACACTCACATTAGCTACAGTTGGGCAAATCCACCTAACACAAAGCCTACTTTATAATATAGTGCTGAATATCTAATATAATTTATTGAATACTGTACTGAAAGTGAGTAACAGAATGGTTGTATGGGTACAGAATAGTTGTAAGTGGTTCACCCTCATGATCACACGGCTGACTACGAGTGAGCTGTGGTTCACCGCCAATGCCTTGCACCATGACAAGAGTACTGCACTTCACTAGCCCACGAAAAGATTGGAATTCAAAATTTGAAGTACAATTTCTACTGAATGCATAACACTTCTGCACCACTGTAAAGCTGAAAAATCCTAAATCAAAGTATTCTAGTTTGGGGACCATCTATGGTTTCTATAAAAAGGAAGGAGGAGCGCCTGGCTGGCTCAGTTGGTACTGCTTGCAGCCTGTGACCTTGGGATTGTAAATTAAAGCCCCAGATATCACAAAACACTTTAGTTCTTGCCACAAAATATTCTAGCCTACAAATGGCCTAAGGAAAAATAGCTTTAAATAATATGATTAAGGATGAATGTAAGTGATCTAACCATACAAAACAGTCATTAATTGATTAGTTTCAAAATCAGCAGGCATGCAATTATTCTAATTTTATGTTTGAAGACCAATTAGTTCACAGAATAGAAGAGAGTATTCATTAATAGTACCTTCTAATAAAACCACAAATTAGCATTAGTTTTAAATGTAGGAAGATAAAAATTATTCCCCGTAAGGGCCTTTATCTTTTTTTTTTTTAACGTGCAAGAGAGCAAGCTTCTGTGTAAGCAGGGAAGGGCAAAGGGAGGAGAGGGAGAGAAAGAATCTCAAGATCTCAAGTAGGCTCCACACCCAGTGTGGAGCCCTACAAGGAACTTGAACTCACCACCCTGAGATCATGACCTGAGCGAAAACCAAGAGTCAGCCACTTAACTGACTGAGCCACCCAGGCACCCTGGGCCTTTATCTTAAAGAAAAAATAACTCAAGTTATAAACTGGCTCTTATGTAAACATTCCAACAGTCCTAAAAGTGCAAAAACTGCTATTGTACCACACCAATCTTTCAAAATAGGTTTTGTACCAAAAATATCAGGGAAATAACCTTTTATAAAACCTGAAGTAGTAGTTCCTTGCAAATATTTCAACTTGATTCAACAAACATGTTCTGAGAGCCTACTATGTGTACAGCACTAAAAGTGGGAGAGGAGCCATATTTGATCAACATCTTAATTTTTTATGTCTTATCTAAGAGTTGGTAGGTTTCTTTTAATTTCCAAATAAGAAATGAATATAAAAAAAAAAGATAAAATGCCAGGTCCGTTTTATAGATACTAATAATATATAATAATACCCTCTACACACACACACACACACACACACACACACACACACACACACACACGGTTATCAAGTATAGGCACCATAAACTGCAGAATTAAGAAAAACACCGTGACTGGCTATTCTTAGTCTTTACTACCTCCCCTGGTCATTTGTTCTGTATAGAGAATAAAAATTATTTAATCGGGCGCCTGGGTGGCTCAGTTGGTTAAGCAGCTGCCTACGGCTCAGGTCATGATCCCAGGGTCCTGGGATCGAGCCCTGCATCGGGCTCCCTGCTCAGCGGAGAGCCTGCTTCTCGTCACCCTCTGCCCCTCCCCCCACTTCTGCTCTCTCTCTACACTCTTCCAAATAAATAAAATCTACCAAAAAAAAAAATTATTTAATCAATCTAATGTTTCATTGGGATGCAGTCTGACAGATACAATCTAATTAAAAGGGAAATGGTTTTTAAAACCTTCACAATTAGTTCAGATAAATGCAAAAGAAACCACATGATTGTGCATTTCTTACATCACTACACGTTTAGATGGGTTGACTCCTGGGCTTTGATAACTGCCAGAAGAGAAATAGTTTTATATATATTACTATAGTCCCTTCACCAATACAGAGAATACAGTTTAATGACACTGGGAAAGAAATAAGATACTGGACATTAATTTATATTATTGAATTACCTTTCTTCAGTCACAAACACTTTTTACAAAATTAAAAAAAATAAGAAAAAATAAAAATTCAGAAAAGGGTTCTGAATATTTTTTTTGCAGAAATCAATCCCTTTTTCCCTAATAAGTCACAAATTTTAAAAAAATCACATATAGCCTTCTTCATGAAATAAGACATTTACCTATCCACTAAAAACAGTTCAAGAATCAATCCTTCCTCAAATGGCTCATGGCTATAATTTTCAGTAGTGCTCTGAGAACTTAGAAATGAAAACATCCTGTTCTTTATTATTTTTTTTTAACTTAGCAACAGATCATTTACTAAAGGTCCTACAACTTAGCAATCTCTATTTGAGCTTTGTTTGTCCACATTCACATGCTTCTTTTGTTAAGTACAAAGCCTGTTTAAGAGCTGCAAAAAATACATAAAATTTTTATTATATATACTCAGAAAGAAAAAATGGACATGGCTATCAACAGAAAATTTAGAAAAGAGAAAATATAAACGACCATTAACTATATGAAAAAATGTTCAATCTTACCAGTAACTAAGGAGATGAAAAGGAAAATACTAACTTTTATCATCAAATTCAGATTTTTGAAGTTGTATCTTCCAATAATGGCAAAGTAATGAGTAAATATACACTCCTACACTGTGAACGTGTGAAATGGTTCCAGTTTGGCAAAATGCATTAAAAGCCTGAAAAAATATCCATTTCTTTTGAACCAGTAATTCCACTTTCAGGAGTTCACTATATGGATATAAAAAAAAGATATAAAGATTTAGGTGCTATTATATTTCACTGTATTATATAATGGAATATCCATTCACATTAGTGAAAAACTTGAACCAATCTAACTTTCAACATCATATCAGCTAAGTAAGCTGTATACCCTTCAACACAAAGTTCTGCAGCCATTTAAAAATCTGTTTTCAGGGCGCCTGGGTGGCTCAGTCAGTTAAGTGTCTGCCTTTGGCTCAGGTCATGATCCCAGGATCCTGGGATCAAGCCCCACACTGGGCTCCCTGCCCAGTGGGGAGCCTGCTTCTCTCTCTCACTCCCCCTCTGTGCTGTCTCTCTTTCTCAAATAAATAAATAAAATCTTAAAAAAAAAAAATCTGTTTTCAACAATATTTAATGGTATGGGCAAACTTTAATGCTATACCTATGTTAGTCCATGTTCACTACTCAAGAAGTAAGCCCCCCTGCTAATAATCATCCCCTCTCATATTATGGCCACATTGCTTCTTGTGTCTTACCTTGATTAAAACCTTCCCATGAAGTCCTCTATAATCCCTGCATTCTCATCCTCTGTCATAAGCCTTTATTTCCTTGACTGAAACTGGCTCTTCCCTAAAGATACCCTTTCTTCTGAGGCTGCTCATGGCTTACATACTTCACATTAGAAGACATTGTGTCTCCTGATTCTAGTGTCATACAGGGTGAAAGTAAAACCCCTACTCCTTTGAAGTCATGCCATATGACTATTACCTTTATCCTTTTTTACTCTCAATTTATGAATTCTTTATTTCTCTATCTCTGACACCTTGATCTCAGTTTTCCTGCTTTATATCATGCCATCACAGAAAATCCATACAACACACTGACCTGACCTTGTTTTCTTCAGGTCCAGTTATGATGGTTTCCTCTCCACATAGCCACCCCTATCATTGTCACTCTTGTCATCTGCGACTGCCCCAGCTCTGAAACTGTAAATCTGGACAACCAACCCAACAACAACCACTACTTTTCTACCAAATTTCACTGTATAGAAGATGTACATTATTTCACATCCTTATATTGATGAAATCAGGACACACTTTATAATCAGCAGGCATCATCTAACTGCTGTTGACCAAGAGGTATTCTTAATAGTTGGTTCTACCTGCACGTGTGTAAATACTAAAACAGCATCAGCACCAAAACCTGCAGAATGAATATCATCAAGTGTTGGTGACATAGCATTTCTTAAAATTATGCAATTATGTAGAGATAATTTACTTTGGACTCCCACTTGGGATTACTACTTAATATGCCTAGTTCACTACCTCCAAACACCCTCCTTACGACCAATAAGCTCGATGTCAGAAAGAATGATAAATTTGGAAAAACATAGTTATCAGTGAGTCTGAGTGAAGAAGAAAGTCCAAAAGAATGATGATGACTCCCTCATATGCATTCCTTGGAAAACCTGAACAAATCAGTGAGAACTTCCTATGATTAAGAAAAAACAGTAACAAAAAACTGGATTTGAAAAAGTTTTAGGGATCCCTTAACTAATTATTTTTATTCATATTCTGCTTTTTAATATAAGAGTAACCAAAGGTAAAAATTTACATCTTATTAAGACTAAAAGAACTTCCAATATTGTATAGTAAATATATAATTAGAATTCTAACTCATAAGACTATCATAGTTTAATTGGTAGTGTTTTCTTAATGATGCATAAAATAACAGTGTAATTTACAATGTTTCAGATTTTTTTTTATAAGATTTTATTATTTGACAGAGAGAGACACGGCGAGAGAGGGAACACAAGCAGGTGGAGTGGGAGAGGGAGAAGCAGGCTCCCCACTGAGCAGGAAGCCCGATACGGGGCTCGATCCCAGGACCCTGGGATCATGACCTGAGCCCAAGGCAGACGCTTAATGACTGAGCCACCCAGGCGCCCCAATGTTTCAGATTTCAATAAAATACATAGCTCTTGCTCATTTTATTTCCACTTTATCTTTTCTTTGTTCTTATGGATGTCACTAATCCCTTGATTTTTCTATTTTTTATTAGAATCTTTACAGTAGTGAATCTCCACTACTCTTGCCAATAATTAAACTCCCATTGCCCATCTTTTGCACCTATTTGATAAATACGAGCCCTGAATCCATGTAACCACCTCTGTCTATAGTAAGGCAGCTAAGCACTCCTGGAAAATATTATTTCTTAGCTTCCAATTGTAATTGGGTCCTAACTGTATCTACCAAACCTCCTCTTTTTACTAATCAAGTCTTTTTTCTCTACCAACTATATTCAGGCCTCCTCTCTTTGTAAACCTCCTACACCCTGTCAACTTTCCCTATACGTGACATTACCACTACCTTTAAAAATTATTATGAAAAATAATGTACAAAAAGGGTACAAAAAGTAACGTAGTACCTGTGAATTCATTACTCAGCCTAAGAAATGGAACATTATCAGTAAAGATGAAGTCACTGTATATCCTTCCCTAAATCTCATCTCCCACCCTTTCCAAGTCTCCTTGCTTTTTGTTAGTTTTGCTACATATGTATTGAAGGAGTTCAGGACATGGCCACCCCAAAATATACTCCTTTGGCAAATACTGATTATTTTGAACCGAAGAAACTTGAAAATTCCCATGTGAAAGGTGCCTTCCCTGTACCAGAAGGAAGAAACTGTATTTTGGGTTTTTTTAAAGATTTTATTTATTTATTTGACAGAGCAAGAGAGCACAGGCAGGAGGAGCAGCAGCAGGAGAGGAAGAAGCAGACTCCCCACTGAGCAGGGAGCTCGACACCGGGCTCAATCCCAGAACCCTGAGATCACGACCTGAGCCGAAGGCAGACACTCAACCATCTGACCCACCCAGGCGCCGCTTTTCTGTATTTTCTAAATGGTCTCAAGGAATATGCATTTTTTTATATAACCAGGAGGTTACTATAATTTATTAAGTACCCAGAAATTATTCTAATTTATTAAGTAACAAAAGGAACTTTAAGATCCTACTCAGAACGGAAAGTTAATTATGCTTAGTATCTTGACCAGCTGTGGAATATAAAGTGCAACCTGCCTTTGTGTGGTCAAAGTTTCTAATTCTACACCTTCAGTCAGTTAGTACTTAATGTTAATAGGTCACTCCATGCCAACCTTCGAAGAACTAAACAAACTGAACTAATACCTTTATTTAACTAAAGAACAATACCAACCTAATAGTATTTATTCATTCACTTAAGTATTTACTGAGCACATGCCATGTGTAAGGCACTATTCAAGGTATTGGTCAAAAAACAATAAACAAAAACCTCTGCCCTCAATGAACTTATAAGGGAACAAAAACAGACAAGTAAAATGTATGTCAGATGTATTGCACTCTATGCAAAAAAACAATCAAAGAAAGGTACAGAGACTAAGGAGAAGACTGAATTTAAAATAAGACACTCAAGGAAGGTCTCAATAAGAAGGTGTCATTGAATCAAGACAGGTAAACAGTTAAGAAAACAAGTCACAATGAGATCTGGAGAACAGTTTTTCAGGCACAGAGAATAGGCAAGGGCATGGCTAACATCTCCAAGGAAGTGGACATGGATCAGAGTGAATGGAGTAACTTACTACAGGTATTAAGAATTCAGAGGAGGTTAATAAAATTTCAGTGTGTTCTTAAACACAAACCTTGCCTTCAATAAGAAATTAACAAATTTGGGGATTAAGTGGAAGTTTTTATCTGATATATCAAATTTTATATGAAAAAGATTATTTTTTAATTAATTTTATTTCAAGTGCAAAGACAGTTTTAATAAAAATCAACTTGGTGACAGTGGAAAAAAAAAAGTTCAGGAGGGGAAATCATGGTCTGGTATCTATGGAGAAGAAAGATCTAAGCTAAATTTAGAAAGAAAGGTAACAGGAAAAAAAGGTTGTATTATATAAAGGAAACCCAATAAAAAAATACAATGACATAGGGGCACCTGGGTTGATCAGCTGGTTCAGCGCCTGACTCTTGATTTCAGCTCGGGTGGTAGGCTCGGGATCATGGGATCAAGCCCCACATAGGGCTTGTACTCAACGCGGAGTCTGCTGGGAATTCTGTCTCTCCCTCTCTCTAAATAAATGAATAAAGTCTTAAAAAAGAAATACAATGACATAAACATGGCAAGAAAGAATGACGAGATCAGTATGATTAAAGCAAATGACTTCTGTATGGGTGCTAAGAACTAAAATCGGGGGACACCTGGGTGGCTCAGTCGTTAAGCGTCTGCCTTCGGCTCAGGTCATGATCCCAGGGTCCTGGGATCGAGCCCCGCATCGGGCTCCCTGCTCCGCGGGAAGCCTGCTTCTCCCTCTCCCACTCCCTCTGCTTGTGTTCCCTCTCTCGCGGTGTGTCTGTCAAATAAATAAATAAAATCTTTTTTTTTTTATTTTTTTTAAAGATATTATTTATTTATTTGAGAGAGACAGAGAATGAGAGATAGAAAGCATGAGAGGGAAGAGGGTCAGAGGGAGAAGCAGACTCCCTGCTGAGCAGGAAGCCCGATGTGGGACTCGATCCCAGGACTCCAGGATCATGACCTGAGCCGAAGGCAGTTGCTTAACCAACTGAGCCACCCAGGCGCCCCAATAAATAAAATCTTTAAAAAAAAAAACAAAATTGGACTCAGACTACATTATGAAAAATAGAAACCGTAAATGTGATGCAAAGATAAAAAAGAATTAACTTTTTTAAACTTAATGAAAAAGTCATTTAGAAAAATGATCTGGAATCAATGTAATATGGGTAACAGGGAATTAGACTAGGGGCACTGAGGTTGTAAGACTACCGCATATGTGAACGGATAAACGGGATAAACTAGACGATGCTCTAAAAGAAAGAGAACTTGGAAGTAGATGGATAGAAGGAATGCAGAAAACAGGACCAAACATGGTATTAAAGTTTCTAAACTAGGAGACTGCAGAAATAGTGATCATTGGTAGAATCATACATATATGTTCTGCAGAGATCATTTTATCCAGAGCTGTGTTTTTAGAATGATTACAAATTGAACAAAAAATCATACTCCTTATCCAAAAGATATGAATGTACATTTTTGAAATCTTATAATAGTTCTCCTTTGAGAACTCAATTAGATCTCATATATAGAACATGATCCTCATAATTTTACCTCCTTAAAATACTTTATCACATCATAAGTGGAGAAATTTCTGATTTATTCTACATTTTTCTCTAATATCTAAACATTTAGGTTTTGAAGAACAGGCAAAGAACCTAAAAATGTATTCAGCTGAAACAATTCGTTAGGAAGGCAGGTTTTAAATCCATGGAAATATGATGGACTATTTAATAAAATGATGTGGAAACAACTGTCTGCCTTTTGAAAGAAATATTAAAACTGACTTCTTACCTTACCTCACTCCTTTTAACAAACACCAAAATACATTCCAGGCATTATTAAACATTTAAATGTAAACACAAGTTGCAGAACTTGAAAGAATAAAATGTTTTATTAAAAAGTCAAATGACAATATAGCCATACAAAGGACTTAGAGCAATTAGGACTCTCATATATCAGTAGTAGAAATGTAAAATGGTGCACCAAATTTGGAAAGGAATTTAGCAGTTTCTTAAAGAGTTATACACCTACCATGCGACCCAGTCATTCCATGCCTAAGTGTTCATCCAAGAGAAATGAAAGTATAGGTCCATACAAAGACTTGTATACAAATGTTCACAGCCATTTTACTTGTAACAGCCAAAAACTGGAAACAATCCAAATAATCAACAGGTGTGCAGATAAATTGTGGTATAGTTATACAACAGAATACTACTCAGCAAGAAAAAAGAGTGGACTACTGAAACATAATGTGAATTAATATCAAAGTAATTATGCTGAAAGAAGCCACCCACAGCCTTCAACGAAAGTATATATTGTATGATTCCATTTATATAAATTCCTCAAAATAAAAACTATAGTTATAGAAATTAGATCAGTAGTTGCCTGAGGGCTGGAGAGGGGATGGGAAGAGGGAAGGAGGAGGAACTACAAAGGGACATAAAGAAATTTTGGGGTGTGATGGATATGTTAATTATCTTTATTGCAGTGACAGTTCATGGTATATACTTATGACAAAATTTATGCTGTATATTGTAAATAGGTACATGTATATATCCATTATACTTCAATAAAGCTGTTTTTTAAAAAAGTAAAATAACATCAGGCCATACACAAAAAACTGTAGACTCTTTTTATCTGTGGTGGGTAAATTTTAAATAAAAAGCTATATAATAACAATTTTAAAATAAAATGAGCTGTGGTTATTACAACTCAAAAATTTGGAAGAGGAAGAAGAGAGGATCTGAACCAGTGACAGGGCTGGCCAGCGTTTTAGAAAATCAGTTACAAGAAAGCCTCAATGAATCACCTCAGGAAGAACAAAAGGGCATATTTAGAAACTAAAGCCAAGAGCCAAAATACGTCAAGCCAACTACACATAAGGACAGGTACAGAGCAAATTCAGAGGC